ACTGATCTAGTCACTTGTACAAACAGTAATGAAGAGAAAGGGACAGAGCATGCAGAGGGAATCACCTGCTGTCTGAGATACGGTGGAGAGGAAGGTGGAGTGGAAGAAGAGAGCATGATCACTTTTTTGGGGCAGGTCCGAGAACGTTCCTTATTCCTCATCTTTTTTTAAAACAGAAAAAGAAAAAAATCATAATAATGATAGAAAAGCTAAGGTAACAATACAATTGGCTTTGATGAGACAGGTCACAATCTCAGAAGTGCATCAACTGGCTCAAAATCTCATGATTAGTGAAATGTACAACCTGGAACTCTCCATAGCACAGTCAGTCTGTTCTCTTTGCTTCATGAAGAATTACATATTGCTGTGCCCTGTGATGTTTAAAAATATCCATCCTGTTGGCCTAATTACTCTTGCTCGGAGTTCATTAGCAAAAAACTCAAGTCACAGCTTTCTGTTCTCAGCTTCAACTCCTTCTGCTCTACCTTACAGAGATTAAACAACCTAAGACAAATTAAACTGCACTGTGTCATTCTACTAGAAAATAAATATATCCATTTTAGAGCTGAAATGTAGCCATAACTAATAATCTGAATACCACACAGTATACATATGTCCTGGTTTCTGTGCCAGATCACATGCCTTTCTAGTTCTATAAATCCTAACTACGTACAGTCTTTTTTCCACCACTTGTCCATTTTTCATTTTTCATGCATCTTTTGCCTGTTTTTTTTCCTTTTCTTTTGAATCCTCTCCCCAGCGTATCTGGAAATAGTTGCACTGCAAAAAGAAACACTTGAGTATCTAAAGCCACTGTTAGACAACCTCTGAAGAAACAGCATGAAGGTAAGATATTACAGATGTTCATCACTGACATTACAGCTGAGCTGGCACAAACATTTGTTTGAGTGTTCTTTCCCCTTCAGCACAAAAATCAGCTCTCCTAATTTAAACAGATGCTACAAGCAGTTTAAACTAAGCCATATGACTTTGCACTGAAGTGGGTGAGGAACACTTACATGCTGTTTCAAAAGGCTCAGCTGCGAAGGTACTAATCTCTAGCAGAAGGGAATAGCATCTTCAACCATTGCACCTGTTTACGCACTTTCATCTGACCATGGCCTAGTTTGTATTTCAGATTTCAACATTTTCACAAACTTGCATATTTTTCCATGGCAGATAGCAGAACACTGTATAATGAAGTGGAATAGGCATATGTTCAGCCCTCCAGTAGGATGCATTTCTGAGTATGCAAAGACAAAGATGGCTATAGGAAAGAGGAGAGAAAGATGTATCAACAGATTGAAATAAGAAATTAAGTAGGAAAAACAACACTTATGGAAATCAAAGGTTTTTTTAAGTTCTCTTCCACTGAGATTTCAACTCCTGCTGACTGTGGTCATCTCGGTTAGTCATTACACATCTTCAAAAATAAGAGTTCCAACAGAATTACTGAAAAGGTTTTTTACTGCTGCATCTTTACCACCCTTCAAGGGACTATCTCAGCAGAACAAGCATCAGAGTTCCAGAAGCAGAAAAAATGTGCACAGAAAGACCTGCAACCTCCATCTCACAAGCCTCTCTGTAAATGTAAGTGATGAAAGCTTCTTTATTAGGCACATACCTTGCTGCTGTTAGGAGACTATGAAACTACAGCAAAAAAAACTGCTGAAGGCTTATGTTGACTCTGGAAATTCAGGACAAAATTCAGTTTAGTAGGCTAGTCTCCCATACCATACCCAAGTAGTCAGATCCTCTTCTAGACAGATCACATGGCTTTCCAATGTTTCATGATCCCTGATGAGATGATCTTTCCCCAAAGCAGCCCAAATGGCTTAGAAAACAATGGAACATACAATGGGAGTTGTTTTTATACAGCTAGGAGTTCCCTGGAGGAGATTAACCACACTAAAAAAAAAAATCCAGCCTTTTTAGGCAACAGCATCATCACATAAAAAACTATACATATTTTAATTGTGGATATACACGTAACATCATCTTCATATGTTACTAGCTGCTGCTGAGGTACTCCTACCAGCATGAACCCATTTTTGACAACACAGATCAACATTCCCAAGTAAATTTTCCAACACAATTCCTGAGGAAAATGCAGATCCCTATGAACGTGGAGAGCAGCAGACAGGCAAGGCTTTAATTCTGCTGGATCCTTTCAAGGTGTTTCCTTTACAAGAAAGAGAGCATGAAGGTCTTGTGATAAAAGTAAAAATTGCTTCAGAACAGATTCTGCCAGGATTTCTCCCTTTCTCAGAGTTTTGCCACACCAGACTGACCTATGCCACCTCTACAATAGTCCCAAAGATATTTTGCATCACAAACTGATTGAAACTGCTAGCCTGCAATCTCTGTTAACTACAGGGCAAATCAAGAATCTGGTCTTAAATTGAGAAGCAAGTATAACTAAGTAAGTCCATGTGACAGACACACACTGGAAGGTCACAGCCCAAGGCAGATGTAGCTTTTCCATCAACAGTCCAGACCACTTCCTGTGCAACTGTCTGATTTCTCCCCCACAATTAGCCTTGCTGCTTTTGCAGTATGTTTTCCTGTGCTATGCAGCTTCCAAGATGCAGGACCAAACCTGTCAGTCACAAGGCCTGAAATTGCCTTCCTCCCCAGAACCCTCCAGTTTACTCTGCCTAGTGGAAAGAACATTTAGGCACCATCTGGTTTCCCTCAAGAACAGGTTACCACTTTATCCAGTTAGGAATTGCTTTGCTCCTCTTCAAAGGACTCTTCACAGTAGGAGGCATTTGCTGCATGAAGAGATGCAGGAGAACTCTGTCTCATAGCTTCATGAAGCTTCTTGAACAGCTCTTTCTAGTTAACATAAAGTCCTTCTAAAGAGCAGCATCAACTTCACTATAGAATCTGTGGCCACGGAATAGCTTTGTAGCTGGAGTGCCGGGTGTCACTGTAGAGAGCTGTTGCAGTGCTGCAGTAACGTGCTGTCTTGCAGCTATCAGATTCTGCTGTGCCTCAGCAATCAGAATTAGGATTCTTAGGAGCTAGTTGAAGCACTGCTTCAGCAACAACCTCCTGCAGGACAGATTTCTGTTCAAGCTTGGCAAAGTTGGCTCCTTGGCTTAGTGGCTGGCTTTCTGCCTCAGCTGGTCTCTGAATAAATGCTCCTATGTACTCTCATGGCTTTTGAACTAAGACAACTGATATTCCTTATTTCTCCAGGCAAGTCCTCGGGAACCTTTGGAATAGAGATCATATCAATCTTCTCTTTGATCCTGCTGCATCTTGCAGATTTTGCACCCTTGAAACCTATTTTTATTCTTCTCCATTTCAACTGTCAGATGAAAAGCACAACAAAGTCCAGCACAAAAGCTGGACCCCAGAGCGCACTGTCTTCTGTTGACACAATAAAGCTTATCAGTGAAAAGACATATCATAGATGACATGACACCTCTAGCCTCATTGGTTGGGAAAATTGCTTATATTTTTTCTGTTTGTATTTTTTCCCTATCAGAAAAATCTAGAAACACCCCAGACAGTAAAATATTTATACTAAGTTGCATCTATTAGCAAGATTTCTGCTCAAACATCCACTGAAAAACTGGGAAGTTGAAACTGGTGTAAGAGGACAGGGAAACTTCGACTGCTAAGTTCTCTTGAAATATTAAATCACGTATCATTGCCTGATGAAGACTCTGGTTTTATTTATTATTAATTAAATGATTGAAAACAATGGTTTTATGTAAAGGTGCTGGAAAACAATGGTTTAAAAACAGGATAGTGATAGCTGGTATTGGGTGTAGGCACTGCATCATATTCATAATCAACTTGTTTACCTGTTTCCACTGGGGCACAGAAGCAAGACGGCCCTGTTCTCGTCTGCTGGATGGTTGGTTGTGAACACGTTCTTGATAAGGCAGAACAGGCTGCTGCATGCAGGTTGTAGGGATAGAAGAGTGGAACCAGGGAGGAAAAATAAAACAGCAAAGGAAACTCAAAGAAAGCCAAAGGAATGGAAGACAGAATCAGACAGACACACATTTAAGAGAAAAAAAAATAGGAGGGGGAGAATTAGCAAGTAAAACACAAAAAGGGAAAAGACATTATCCAAAATGGGACACTACGGGGGTTTTTTGGACACTCCTTTTATTTTCATAGTTTCTTCACTTCAGCCTGGTTATTCCAGCTAGTATGCGCTGACTGAGGAAACACGTGACTGGCAAAGAGTAGGATATATGCCATCCTTTTGAGCTTCCATTATATTACTGGCACTGGTGCGCAGCTTTCAAGTAGCTAGGTCTGATCCTAGTCACAATCTAGCCATGGCAGCACAAAACTTGGCACAAGCTGTGAAGCAGCAGGGCAAGAACCCAGGCACTTAAACCATACTGAGTCTTAAACTGCTGATGCTGCACTGCTAGCAGCATCTTGGAGTGACTCAGTCTAACTTCAAAGGAGACTACCTTGCAGTTGCAGTAGTTCAGATACCATCCTGAATAACCAGCAGTCATCAGGAAGCCTCACTTTGAATGCTACAAATATCCTGATTGCAAAGAAACTCCCAGGCATTTTATCTGCAGAGCTTACAGTTACATAAACATACTGAGGCCCAGTTCATAAGAACGAACAACTGACATGAAAAAACTTCAAACCAGAACTTAAATGATAGTTCTCAAACATTAGAAATGGGATGTTCCCAGAAAGCTTTTCAAAGGCAGTAGCAGTTACAAAAGAACCAATTGCTTTTCATTGTTCTTAACTGTTCAATAATTCTAATTGTTTTTAAGATGTTTCTGAAAGAGATTACATAACACAGTACCGGTAATAACAGTGAACTAGACTTCCATCAGGAAGTTCTTCCCCATCTCATACTCCTAAATCAAGAAATTTTCCTCTTCTCCTCTTACTTAGAAGAGCCTTTGAAGTAGAAGAGCACCACTAACATCCAGTCTTGAGGAGTGTTATTATTAGTGTCTTGTTGCTCTACAAAATAGAGGGTTCTACCACTCATCTCCTACCTGTCTCCGTAAGCTTGAGGACTGCACTGGTGCATTCTCTTCAAACTTGGCCAGTAGCTGGGTTGCCATGGATTTCACTTTGTTCTGATTCCCAATGGCAGCATCAATCCTCCTCTCTGTCAGGGCGCTCACCAGTGTGGGCCTTTCTTCTCTGTAGCTTCGAGGGATGTCCTCCTAACAATCAAGAGAAAGAAAATTTAACAGATCCGTCCAGACCACCTTTTCCCTCTCTTCCCTGTTGCTGTAAAAGGTTTCTAACATTGCAGAAAATGAATACATTAGCTTGCATTTCAAAGCTCACATTTTACTTTTCTGCGGCAGGTCACCGAGTTCTGATAAACTTTCCTCATCTTTGCAATCTTACTTGATACATTGACTTAGCAAAGAGACCACAGTTGAAACACTCCCATGAATATATTGGCATAAAGCAAAAAGCTATCTTCAAACCCTCACTAACAATTCAAAGTTCTAAATTTTAGTGCACTTGTGCCTATTCGCCTATATACATTTGAACGGGAGGAGTGCCTTCTGGAGCATACTGGGTATGTATGCCTTTTGAAATGAAGAAGCTAAAGTTTTAACTTGAATGAAATTTCTGACTCCATTGCATCACTTTACTAAATAAGCATTTTCTTCTTGGCATCCTTGTCAAGTCAAAGTAAATTGCAATCAAGACAAAATATAAGGGAACTGCAATATTTAATTTCTAACGTACTGTTCTTTCAAAAGCACCAGTAAAATATTTGTACTATAGATATGACAAAGCATAATCTCTTAAGAAGAATTAATTTTTCTCTAAAAAATTTTGCATAAATCCTGTCTGGATATAGAAAATGCAAGGCTTGGAGTGGGAACAAGGAACCTAACGCACGTATATTTTTTTCCATAACACTTCCCCACTCTAATACTTACATCCTCAGACTGGCTCGTTTTCCTCCTCTTTCCTGCACCATCCAGTTCCTTTTCCTTTTTGTCCTGAAAATAGGAGGAGAAAAAAAACAAAGATAAGGATTCTCATACCTTTCTGGCCTGAGACGAATGCCATCAGTACGTTCAAAGAAGTTTTACAACACAACTGATCGCTTCTCTGGGCTCATTTGTTTAAGAAAAGTGGAGGTTTTTTTCTGATGCTTCTTAGAGGATTTCTTGCCTTCATGTTGGAAATTCTACCTGACATTCTTCAAAGCTTTCAATGAATTGGGAACTCAGTACCAGTTATGTTCTAATACAAAACATATCCCCAAATTCTAGCACAAGGCGAGGATTTTAAGTCTGAAGTAAAACATCAATTGAGAGTACCCATGTAATTCTGCAATGAGAATGGTTACGTACCGTCCTATGCCAATAGCTGATGAACACACGGTCTTTTGTTGATACACAGCAGATTCGCACTCATATATCCATTTTTATTAACACCTACTTGGATAGCAGCCTAACAGACAAAAGTGTTATCAGGACTGTGGTATGGTTACCTTTGGAGTGCGTTTCCTGGAGATGCTTTGTCCCAGTTTGCTGAGAAAAGAGATGGGAGATTTGGTACTGGCAATCAGAGCAGCTTTTTCTTCTGCATTCAGGTCCAGACTGTCTGTTAGCAAAAACAGGTGGGACAAGGGAGTGCCAAGATTTTATTTCTGTGGTGCCATTATTAAATACACAACCAAAAGACTAATTTTTTAACATACCACTCTTTTTCTTAAAACTCTCTGTATAAAATAATTATAGAGACTCCAAAATGAGAACATTTCTTAGCAACTCCACTCTCTTCATTTTGCCAAAATCAATTCTCCTTCAGGCTTTATAACTAGTCAGAAAAAATATTGTGTTGGTTCACTCTATTTACTTCCGTATCTGTAGACCATCAGGACCAATATTAATAAGAAGAATCAAGACCTTTGGAAATAATACCTGATATATGCTATATGTTAAAAAGGCTATTAAACACACAGTTTTCACCAGAATGATAGACTTGAAAGATGTGTCTTAAGGCATGTATTAAGATCATCAGTAACAAAGAAAAAGCTAAAATAGCATTACGATTTGAAGGTAGGCAATATTCATTTATGTTAGGCATTTACATCTTTCAATTCTACTTAAGGATCTTTCAGTCCTGCCTTCCATTGGCCTGGAGTTACTCTCACCATCCAAGCATGGTAAACAATAGACATAAAACTTGGCCAGTGCCTTGAAATTAACTACTAAACAACTGCTAGCGGGGCACCTCATGACCACGGACAGATGAACCTCTAATAACAGCAAGAGAGCAAAAAATTTGTCTAGAAGTTCTGAAATGAATGTAGATTTTTTTTTTGAGGACACTATTTTGCACTCATTGACTCCTCTTTTTTGCTCCTGATGCTGCTAACATGATCTCCTGTCAGCACAAACATGAGGGCAACTTTTTGTAGTGTAGGATTAGTGAGCGACAACTATGAGCTCATGTGGGAGAAGCACAAAGATAACCGGAGTGCCCAAAAATCATTCTGCAGCTGTCTTCAAATCTGACAGACCTGTCCCAAGCTCCTTACCACTAGACGGGATGGTATCTTTGAACATCTCATAGAACTGCGTGAGGTACATCACCATCGACAGTTTATCTGGCTCTCCAACAGATGCCATTTCCTTTCCAGTCATAATAGGAGATATTCCAAACTCTTTTTCAGAGATGTCAAAGGCCAGTTGGTTATTTTTCTCCACATTGTGCTCATCCAAAGAATCAAAGTCTCTGCAAAGGGCAGGAAGAGGGCATGTACTGAATCAAGTATAAAGAGTCTTTTGAAAGAACTCAGATATCCATATCTAGTTTTTATTCTGAAACTCCAGAGTATCTTTTTCTCTCAAATTTATTTGCCGCTATCTTTTTGTATTGCAGAGTTAACACTACTTAACTTAATTAGGGTGAACGCTGTCTCAAACATATTCTTTTTTCATTTATTGCTCCAACAAACCTAAGTTTTTCATCTTCAGAACTTTATTTTCCTTTGAAATACATCTTCACTTCCTCCTTTGTTGGCAATTTCTTTGAAGACTGTATTATTTTCCCCTATGTAAAACCTTCTGTGTGCATGGAACTAAATGATGTCTTCCCTCTTTTCCCCATTTTTCTTGACTGATTCATATTTTAGTTCTATTGGCTTTTCCAAAACTTGCTGTTATTCTCACTTGGAACTCTCACAAGCTACCTAGCTTTCAAAAAGAGTAGCTCAAGTTAACTTTAGTGCAACAGATAAGTAATTCAGCATGTATGGAAGGGAATAACCACATAATTATTTAGCTTACTTTATACTGGATTATGTCTTTAATTATGCTGCTAGCATTTATTTTTTCTAATGTCCTTTTGGGAAGCTGAAGTCATTTCAGATTTCAATGAAAGTACCAGTCTTACTTATGCTTGCCAAAGTTTTCCCATTCGAGAATTTGGGCACTCTTTTACCCAACATATACCGGAATAAGACAGCCTCTCTCATTCGTCCAATCAGCATGTTAGTGCACAAACCGTAGCAATGACTCTATTCAGACTGTAGGTCACTTAATTCTAGAAAAGGCAGCCAGAAATGTTTTTAGAAAGAGTTACCATTAAACCATAAAAGGCTAAGTGGAGATTTGTTCACAAGAAATTTAACTGAGGCTATCAACTAATTTCACAAAGAGAAGAGTTGTCAGATAATAATGAACTCCAATCAGTATCAGTCTGCAGTTTAATTCCGTCAAATCATGTAGAGGAGAAAATGACAACACATTTATCTTGATATTCATCAAGCTTTTATGACCTTCCACTCTACTCGTGAATCACTGCACACTAGCTTCTGTCAAGTTTAATTAAATTCATTTCAATTCATTTTCTCCAAAAGTCACAAATGCATTGCCTAAGTCTCCCCATTACTAGTTCCAAATATGACTAGTGTTCTTGTCCTTCCCAGTTCTTCAAAACAGTCAGTTACTTACATTAGGTCTGGACGGTATCTGTGGATAATGGCACACAAAGCTAGGCCACTTTTCCATGACATTGTAAGATCTGTCACGTTTACGCCTGCGTATCCATCAGTCTGCCTCTGGCACCAACTGAGCAATTTACTGGAGCGAGCTACAGACTCTGTAAGAAATCATAGTTTTTAAGTGGAAACGTACAAAATCTCTTTCATGAATTCTAACTATGTCATAAAAAATACGTATCAACAAACAAACTTGCTGGTAGGGTCTCTGTGTAAACAAGTAGCTCTCTCAACAAGGGACAATATAGGACAGAATTTTTTTTTTCAAAAAAAAGCTATCACATCTATTTTAGGTCCAAGAAAGCACTATTCATTTGCTAAAAAGTAATTAGTCGAGTTGTAACTTTCCAGGCATTTCACCCCAGACTTCATAAAAGAGCCCCAGGAACTGTAAAACAGCCCAAAAGGCTTTTTAAAAATAAGATCAAAAAGACATGCAGTAGCACAACGCTTTCTAAAGTCCAGATATACTATTTCTAATGGAAGAACTACAAATGTACTTCTGCAAATTCTTAACTTCTCTTGAAAGCTTTTCAATTAAGTACTGACCTGTTTTGACCTTGTCTTACTGCAAGAGCTGATGAGATCATAGCCCAAAGGCACACGGTTGTAGGCCAAAGAACAAATCAAAAGACTACATAACTATAAAACAGTGAAATGGAGGCTCAGCAGCAAAACTCCCTTCCGAGAGTCACCAAAGACTGTCTGGACTCCAAAGGCAAGGTACGCAAAAGAAAAAGTTCAACATAACCCTCAGGCTACAGGACAATTAGACAGATATTGAAATATTTAACCAAAAGATGTCTAACTTCCAGAATAATGCAAGTAAAGCAATGTTTCATTTAGTTAAGCTAAGAAATGAGATTTAGTAAGGGGGTAAAACATAGGCATGTGATACTGCTCAAGGAGAAATGCCTTCTCTTATTTTTATAAGAATTGTGAGTTGGCTGCTGGAGTGAATTCAGGCTAGGCTTCCACGCTCAATGTAATGACATTGTTACAGGATACAGGAAGTGAAGAGAAATACTTGTATAAGCAAATAGGCTTAGAAATATAACAGCGTTATACAGCAAGGGAAATTAGGCAAAAAAAATGTATTTACATGTTAATTAAAACTTGAAAAATTGGAAAAATTAGACTGTTATCAAAAGAATTGCTAGATACTTTTTCTAAACCAAAAGAGATGGGTTAAATAAGACTCCAGAGCCCCACTGCTCTATACATCCTGCACTGATCCAGCTCCAGAGTACCAAAAGGAGTGAAGCAATAATGAGGCCTACCATTCCGAGTCAGCTTTGGTGTCCTGGAGTTCACAAAGTTTTCTATTTCCAAGTGAATGTCTTTCAAGTCTCCTGTATTATACAAGTGGCGCACCTAAAATAATGCAAAAGATTAAAAATGACCAACATGCCATGCACCCAAGACCCATACAGAATGAGTAGGAAGATAAGAAGGAGTAGTTCCAAGAATGAACAAAGGAAGACGAGAACGCTTACATAGCAGAAAACTCTAGCCCAAGAACTCCAGAACAATGAGGAACAGTTCGTCTGGGCTGAACAGTCAAGCTGACTTCTGCAGGTCAGCGGATACCAAATTTCAGTGACAGACAGCTATATCACGTTACTACTAAGAAAGTACACACACATGCACACGAATCTATGTATTTCAAATATCGTTAAAACAGGGTTTAAACTGTCAAAATCAAAAACATAACTGATAAAAAGCACATTTTTATGACTTCTAAAAAAGCCTGCATTAAGAGGAGTTGGGTAGAGTACAGAGGCCTACTCTTGACGGATATGTCAGCGTTTCACTGCTTCCAAGTTAAATTGCCACAGCCAAGTCAGTCCCTGTTCCCAAAACATTAGTGTAGCTTCACCTAAGGAAAGATCATGCAGGTTACAAGCATTTAGAAGCACTATTCATCCAATTACCTGTTGTGGCCGCAAAAAGTTGACGTTGATATTGGGATACCGGGTAGCAGGATCAATGCTATAATGGCTGAAGTTTTTACTCACATTCTCAGGGGTTGTCTGAGGCAGTAGCCTATAAATGCTTTCCCTTGGGAAAATAAAAAATAAAAGTGACTTTTTCAAGAAATGCATCACTACTAATACCACTAAGTCAATCCTGGTAAGAGAGAACACTCAGATCAGAAAACTAAGCACTTCAGGTATCGCAGAGCTAAGATTCAGTGTAAGTATATTAAAATCTGCAATTTAATATAACTCTGGAAATCAAAAGAAGGGAAGAAAACAATACACTGCAGCATGACTAAAGGGTTCCCCAGTACAAGAAAGACATTGACATACTGGAGCGATGTGGGAACAGGGCCACCAAGGCGCTGGAGCACTTGCCCTGTGAGGAGAGGCCAAGGTAACTCGTTTTGTTCAGCCTGGAGAAGAGAAGGCCCAAGGGAGATCTTATTGCTGTCTGCAAGTATCTAATGGAAAGGTGTTAAGAAGATGGAGCAAGACTTTTCCTGGAGGTGCACAGCACTGGGACAAGAGGCAATGGAGACAGGTTGGAACACAGCAGATTCGATCAGATACAGGAATTTTCATCATGAGGGTGGTCAAACACTGGAAAAGGTATCCAGAAAGGGTAAGCTAATGAGATTATAGGCCAAAGGGACGGGGTTGTAGGCCTGGAATCTCCATCCTGGGAGATATTCAAAACGTGACTGCACATAGCCCTGAGCAATCTGATCTAGCTGGACCCAATCTTAAGCAGGATGTTGGACTAGGTGACCTTTTAGAAGTCCGTTCAACCTAAATTCCTCTATGAATCTATGATATATCAAAAGGATACCCACTTCCGGAATGTTTTCAAGTTTATTTACCCCAAACCTAACATACTAGAAGTAAGCAGTACACAGACAGACAGCATAAATTAATATTAGATAAAATGGTAAAGTTATATGAACAGTTGAAACTTTTCAGAGAAGAGACATGCATGGTGAAATACAAATGATGAATGGTATGGTCAAAATAAATCAATCACAATGTCCCTATTTAACTTCTCACACTGACAGCAAGAGGACCTCTGGAAACAACTGACACAAAATAAAACTTCTGCCAAAAGATTATGGTCTTCACAATTAATTAGACTTTTATACGGGTAATGAGAACCGCAATGTTACTTCAGTTCGGACAAAATATTAACATAAGCCTTTGTGAAAGGGGATATAAAACAAATTCTATTTGGTAGAGGAAAGGAAAAGAATGGCCCAATTTCCTGTTCCTGACCAACAAAATCATGTCAAACACTGTACTGAACAGACTTCAGGCAGCCAAGAGGCAGATAAGCTCCATGTTTGGAGGTCCCTTCCAAACTACATGATTCTATGATTTCTGCTTTTAAATTACACATTAATAGTTCTCAAATTAGAAAATGAGAAGTGGAAGCTTCATTTTGTAGTTATGTGATAATTAAAATATAATTACTAATAAAAACGTGGCACAACAGAATTACTGACATACAATAGACTAAAAGGTAATTGTTTCCAAACTGTAAATAAATTCTGATTTAATTTACAAATTCTGCTACTCTGTAAAGAGTATATGACTCAGTGACAAGCCGGTTGAGAAATTCCTCCAACATAAAAATAATATACATACAAACCCTCTGAAATACATGTGACCAGTTGAAATATTCATTTCCCCCAGTAATGGGAACTGAACTGATTTGACCAGGTTGTATTCCTTTTATGAGGTTTTGCAGGCTTGACCTATATGAAATTTTAAGTTTTGAATCATTCAGATGCATATTTAGAAAGTCAAACTTTTATTCATCTGACTTTATGGTCTTTTTTATTAAATTTGTGATCTTTAAATTAGAAAAATCTTTATGCTGAAAAATACAGATAACTTTCTAATGTTTATTTTGAAGTCACAAAAATTCTAGTAATAAGATTTCCTGAAAATTCAATCAGCCCTGCAAAAAATTAATAAATTGATTAATTAATCTCAAGGAAGTGTGTGAAGCTAACTGCAACAATTTTTTCAATATTTTTAGTATCGACTGTGCCATTTATAAAATTTTAAAAATTAAACCATGGTTCATGATAGTCAGAAGCTGCAGTTGTTTTAAGTTTTTAAAACAGGTTCTACTAGATGTTGATCTTATTTACACCATCTTTTACTGCGTTCTGATCTACAAGAGATCACCCTGAACCACCAAAACAACTCTCAGTCAAAGAGGACGAAAACGTCAAGAACTCAATACTCCAAAGAAACAAAAAGCCCAAGATAGTATTTGATTTGCATGAAATAAATTGACAAATTTAGAAAGAGAATGTGAAATACAAACAGATCTAGCTTAATTAACAGAAAATGGTCAAAGAGATCGATAAGATAATAAGGGATGACAAGATTTTTGTCTCTGATACTCTGAAGGCACCTACATCTTCATCTGGTTCACTGTTCTAAGGCTGGTAGCAGTAAGTCAGGCTCACTTTCTCTTCATAATACCGATAAGCACCAACAAAACACTCTTCTAATATGCTTTTTAACCAGAAGAGAGAACAGCTGCAATATTTCTTATTCCTCTCTAAATGTACTTCAATTTATCAGCTCCTTAGGAAATCTTTTCTTTAATGAAACTATACACATAAGCATCCTCTAAAAACATTAGTAAGAATCTGTATGCTCCATTTTGTCTGTATATTTGTACAAGAAGGAACTGGAATTAATGATAACATGATGGAGGTTTTAGATTAGAACTGAAAAGTGCATTCGTTTTCTCTATTACCTCTCTGCAAGAACTTCCAAAGGACTAGCTCCAAGCGACCAACTTCGTACCATCCACGCAGAGTCCATTGCAGCCAGAAATCCCCTGGCTATTCCAGTTCCCATTGGCCAAAAAGGCTAATAGTACATGTTACAGAAAAAGCAGAGAAAGGAGAAGTGTCATTCGGGAAATGGAAATTCTAAATCAGTATCAAGAATACATTCAGAGGATAATCTGCTGGGAAATCATAGCTCAGTAATTAACTTAAAGCTCTACTCCCACTGGGCTAGATGAAGTCGGATGTATGGTGATTTGGCCACGAGCTCCCCCAAAGCCAACCTTCCTCTATTTCCAACAACAATTCATAGCCTGGAGTCTCTTAACAGCTTCTTTTCAAGACTGTACTATTTAACAAACTACAAAATGCTAATTATTAACAGAACTACAGTAGGTTCCATAGAGAGTCTCACTGTCCCAATAAGGAACAGATGGAACAGACATAACTTCAGAAACTCTCTAACACATTTTCTTCAGTGCTAAATATTCTGCTTTCCCAACACTCCTACCGTTCTTCCAAACCTCCCACATTATTATATAATAAACAGCAGCTTTCCTCATAATAACAATTTTATAGGCCGAAGGGAAAGCAGCACATATTTCAGAGATGGGCGCAATGGCTTGTGCTTGTGCTTCAATTCATTCTTCACACACGGTAAGTTTAAAACACAAACCTCTAAGAGACTGTCCCCAACCAAAGCCACAAGTAACTGGTGACCATTCTGCTCTCGCACCAGTGCAGCATTCTCTGATGCGTACATACACGTGAAGTCAAACATAGCCACATCTGGCTGACCATAGTGATTGATGGCAAAGTCCAGTGATGGCAGCTGCTGATTAGTGGAGAAGTCAGCTGCTTCTCTGGCATAGTTTAGCAAGGCCTCCTGGTCCACATTCTCCCGTGAGAGTAATAACTCTGTGTCAGCATAATCCTGCCAAAGACAGACCAGTAAAAGTGAAATAGCCATATTCACAAGGGCATTTTAAGACTGGTATATACAATTGTTGGTACTGACATTCCTGCAAGTCCATGGCTATAGATCTGCCCTATGTCTAAGCTTCCAAGAGAAAATTTGTAAATCTTTTGTTGCAAATAATCATCAGCTCCACTAGCATTTCTGAAAGTGAAAGGGCAAAGAAACTTCCGAAAATTTTTTTCACACCCTATTTTCCGATAAAACGTGGAAGACCTTATAAATTTCTTTGCGAGTAAACTAGTTTTAAGTTAGTTTCTGTCAGAATAAGATATGGGTAAATTCCCAAGATTTTCTTCACTCCCTGCTTCTTCATTTCCATAAAATGAGGGAGACTCAACAAAGTAGTCAAAGACTCTGGAAGTGTATTGTATCTTAACGTGAATGAAACCCCCAAATCTACACAGAGATTCAAATTTGGATACGGTAGATCTTACAACGCTTTTCTGATGGCTCAAAATACTTCAGAAGGGCATTAATCACACATATCTGGGTTCTAAAAATATGCCTGTATAAAAATGTATGGTGTGAAACAATTCTGTTCCCTTCTTTCAGCATGCCAAAAACAAATTGCGCCAAAATCTTAGTTTACAGAGAATACATAAAAAGTTAATACCCACATGCCGTATCACTCCTTTATCCAGCAAGCTCTGCTTTTTGGCAGTCATGACAAAGTAGTGCGTATCATCTTTGTAGTAGACAATGTTCTCTAAGTCAATACCTTGTGCGAGAACAAGAGACGTGGTAATAAAGGAACAAGTTACATGTTTTGTGCAACACATGAGCTCTATGAGAAGAAAGTAAATTGAAACTACATGGTTAGAAAGCCTTAAGGAGAATGCCAAGCAGCTTCCTCCCATGCTTTTGGTGAGTTTAGAACATGAATCTTCAGCAAAACCACAACAGCACACTTTACCTCTTTAGCTACCTCTTTTTAAAAATATAGTTATCATCACTCTAAGGTTTGCATTCAGATGTGGAGTACAGAGAGCCGAATTCAGGATTCAGACTTTTCTTAGGAAGGGCTCAGCTTTCCTGAAAACCGTCAAGGAAATAAGTTCTCCATCTTTGAATGACAATGGCACACATCTGCTTTATACAGCTGTACAGAAAAGCTATAAAAGTGAGGGAAGTCAAACTTGGAAGAGAGAGAGTAATGACTAGCTTCCTGGCTCAAGATGATCATTTATTGATTAAACATGTGATACCTGAATTACCGAAAGTTATAATAATAAAGACAAATAGTTTTCACTGGAAATCTGTCTATTGCTGACAAACCTGTGGCTTCTCGCAGATCCTGGAAGAACTTCTGATTGAATATGAAGGCCACACCGCTGATCTCTTCTACTTTGGCTTCAGCTGTGGTGTTGCGATTGATGAAGTTTGCTGTGATAGCAATTGCGAGTTTGCCACGGAACTCTTTTCGGCGAAACCCTATGGGAAAGATAAACTAATAATGTTAACAAAAAGAGCATAACGTCATAGAATGCTCAGCATGCCATAAATAGTTGTGCTCATAAAATAAGGGAGAGAATGAATCTGAAGTACTAGAAACTCTTCCACAGAGAAAGCAACAAAAAAAACTCCTCTTGCAAATTGCTTCCTCAGGAAAAAAAAAGGTTAGGGAAAAAAATTCCCTCTCCTACCAAAAACTGCAATTTGCATCAAAAATATTAAGATATAATACTCTACTACACCAGAAGAGTATTCAAAACTTCAACTCTACTCTCAGCAGCAAGAGCTGCAACACTACTCAACTTAAAAAAAAAAAAATGCAAAAATTATCCAGGTCAAAACATCTAAATTCTTCACTAGTGTACAGTGAGACAAAAAAAAAGACAGCTATCCATGATATAACTGGATTTCTGCATGGAATTTTAATCTCCCTATCACTAGTCAAATGTCTTTTCCAGATTTTGGGTTTGGACGCTGAGGGCCGTTTTTGTTTATATCTACTCTAACTTAAGAGTAAGTCTATTCAAAGTGAATAAATATAGAATATTTTACATTACGGATGCACCAAAAGCCATTACCTTCTAAGGTGTTCCTCCTGCCATCCCCTCCAATGATTACTTCAAATTCATACTCAGATACTGGATGTGTTTTTGGGTGGACCAATGCACGCCAACCTATCCCTGTGGATAAACTCCAGGTTAATGACAACATAAGCAGCGCACCCAATACAACAGATATGCAAAAACTATACAAAAACACTTGTTACTACCTATAAGCCATTTTCACATGGTCAACAAAGATGCAGCGCAGGAGAGCCATACTACTGACCTGGGTATTGTTGACCTGCATAGACACTCTCTTTCTAAGGGAATCAGAGAATGCACTGTGTCAGGCAGTGACGGTCCCAAATAAATCCACCCTGATTAGTACCTGTAAGGATGACTACAACCTTCTATAGCTTCTTCTACTTTTCAATTAACACTATGGCAAAAAACAAGTAAGACACGATCTTCTACAGTGATCAGACGAGATTTCACAAAGATGCAAAAAGTGTAACAAAGATCTCTACAGGCTCAGTCTTTCGTAACAGCAAAATTGATTTGGCTAACATGTGCAAAGTCAAAGACCACACTGGTACGTGATTTGTTTGCTCAGTAAAAGACTGTCAACAACATTTACAAAAACCATGCAGGTAACTGGTGCAAATATCTTCAGTGAATGCAAAAAAAGGAGTCAGCCATAAAAAGCTATCTTCCAAGTGTAATAAGCTCTAAATATTTTAAGAGTGATTATGACTGGCTGTGTCTTGGATTATTTCTGCTTAGTACCTCAGGTGTCTTTTGTTTTATATAGCAACTAATTTGGATTCTTCAATAGAAAGAATAAAACCAACTATAAATCCCAGCAAAAAAGAAGTAACGATTATTCTCATTAACAGAGTATGAGGAAAGGACTTAGTGTTATAAGCAGGGCTGAAGAGCTGGAGTCTGTGTATCCTTCCATAACTTCCCCTTTCTCGACTACCCGTTTCAATTCTACTTGCTTTCATTCTCCTGATCCTCAGGAGGGTAAACAAGCCCCTGAAATTCCACATTGACATGGATCTCGATTCCCAAGATCAAGGCAACCTTCAAAAGGATAAGCTGGAGCTGACGGATACCTGCAAGAAAGCAGATGATAAAGAAATGTAAGAAAAAGAAAAGAGCACGTGCATACACGTGTCCCTGTATGGTTTAACATTACAGATAAATTCATTTAAAGGTCGACTGCTGCTTTCTTCTTCACACTGTGTTTCCTAGTACTTTCCATTGAGGCAGCACTGGTGTGTAACATCATGGCATGCCAAAAAACTTCCATATAGCAGAAACTCCAACCCTCCCCAAAGCAAGTAAATAACTTTTTAATGTTTCAGTCCCCAAATCAGGAACAAGGGAAACAACCAGAACACGCATTGCAGGGGATGTAGGAAGGAGAGCACAAACAAGACTGCACTTTGATCACAGGTAGCAACTAGCCACTTGTACTATTACAGATGTACTGGTTGTACTACTGGACTTCACCTTTATCCTAACACCTTTAGGTTAGTGACAGCACAGTAAGTTTCACACCATCTCTTTCCTCTAACGTTAGTGTAGGTAGTGGGTACAGAAATGACAATGTGAAAACACTACTACTCTGAAGGAATACCCTCTACTGTCATATTCCAGATACGAAAATGAGAAAAAGCTCCACCTAAATACTAACATTCAGCTGTGCTGAAATACAAAAGATGATGGCATTTATAAAGTACCGGAAGAATAAAAATAATGAGAAATTGGAAGAAAAGAAGCAACCTGCAAGACGGAAGTTCCGAAGACCCTTCAGTTATACCTTTCACTTCCTAAAAAAGAACAGTTTTTGCTTTGGACAAGAGGATAAATCTTACCTACTATCTTTCTGCCACTTTATTTTCCCCAATTATCCCAAGAGGTCAGCACAGATTGGTGAGCAAAATACTCTGGCTGTGGCATGTCCAGTAAAGTATTGGAGAAAGAGAAACATTGGAAAAAGATAATTCCTGTCCTACTGAAGCAGTCATTCAGTTTTTAAATTGGTTTATCAGAATTTGAGAACTATCAAAATTATTCTCAGTTTTGGTATGTAAATCTCTAATCCAATCAAAGCCTATTCATAGATTAGCAGTTTTCCTGCAAAAATCTTCACCGCTCTTTCAAAAATACGGATATTAACAGTGAACAATGCCAAAACAGTTCCCCCATTTTTCAGATCGACATTCAAAAGAACGTTCAAAAACATTTAGCAATTTTTTTAACAACTTGCTTACAATGTTCAAATGAAACAGAATAATGTGGCAGCTGCAGGGATGTAACAGCAAAAATAAGAAAATTATCCATCAAAAAAAGCTTTGAACCCTAAATGTACTTTTCAGTGTAAGAAAAAGATAAACCTCTGAAAGTAGTAGGTGTAAAAGATGACAGGCATACACTGCATGTCTGTTAATCTCAACGCGCAATGTATTTCTCCCACATCTAGGGCTAGCCCAGATTGTGCTATACAAAAGTAATGCTGAAATGCACCAAAAGGAGGTTAGAGCAGTTACTGTGTAGGCTGAATTCTAATGAATTAGCCCATGCGTATCCTGCCTTCCCCGGGGAAAACAAGTGCTGCTGTGGCTAGCAGCAGCTGTACTTACTGATATGGTCTATGGATCCCGCACAGAATTTGCCATAGAACTTTTTGGCGCCAAGACCTCGCAAGTCATGTATGGTGAACGGCCACAAGTGCAGAACATTATTGCGGGAAAAGGCATCCCTCTTTTCTATGACCACCACCTTTGCTCCTAGGAATGACAGGTCGATGGCTGTACGAAGGCCACAGGGTCCAGCCCCAATTATCAGACACTGCAAAACAACCAGTACAGAGTAACTTTACAGCCCTAGGAGGAAAAAGGTATTCTTACCACAGCTTCAAAGCATCCCACAGCTCGTAGGGGTAAGCGCTCTTTGTTTGCAACCTAAGTTGAAATTTCAGTTCAGTCTTTCTATTGTTACCTGCCATGCTCTGCCACTGATAGGTTAAAGCAGTAACTGAAACCTGAAAATAAAGCATATTACACAGCAGTGAAAGTCTGGAGAAGCAACAAGTCACCTTCCTGTTTTCAATTCTCGTTTTAAGAAGAGCTGCCAAGATGTACTCTATAAGCTATGTAAGTACTTGGAGAGCATCAGCATTTCTGAAGGCTCAAGGCTGCCACCTCCTCCCCCATTCTATCCATGTGTTGCTCTTCTTAAAGCAGGTGATCTAGCCTTCTCCCTCATTTTCCAAAACTTGAGCTGCCCTTCCTAGAGCACTAAACACTAAAAACTCTTCATGATCACCGAGTAACACAGTAACAGCTAGTATTCTAAGGCTGAGAAATACATGAGCTGCTGATGTTTTTATGAACAATATCACTTTGAGTAGCACAGATAATGGTCACGTCAAAGCGCATTAACTCATGCCTACGCTGCTGCTTCTACTTTTGCAGCAAGGGAAACTTCAGAAAATTAAATATAACGTAAATACAAATTTTGTGTAACTGACGACCATTTTTATTGGGATAAATTTTCTCTGAGCTAACTTTTGTCATGTGGTCTTTCATCTTCCCATGTCTGCTTCCGCTCTACTCACAGACGCTATGAAGCCAAAAATCAACTACATAATGTTAAATACTTGCATATCTAGTGCTAGGTTTTGGGGGTTTTTTTGAGAAACAAGAGATACAGCAAGATAATTTATTTTAAGATTAAAAAAACAAAACAGTCTGTTGACACTTGTTACCCACAGAAACTGAGGTCCACAAAGCTGGCATGTATGTGTAGCCAAATATAGTGAACATGTCCATTTTGTCATATTATTTTTGTACTTTAATTTCTACTGAGTATAAACTAGTCCCACATAATAAAGACCTTGCTACAGTGGTGACTGCAGCTGCTATGTGAATATTTTCCAGATATTTATGTAGCTTTAGAGCTGGACAACAAAGCTCTCTGAGAAACTCAGAGGTATGCTAAAAATTAATCAGAACCTAACCTTCCGACCAAACAGCCTATCCTGAAATAAAAGATTTTTGTTCTTTCATAGTCCCCATACGTCCATTTTTACAGCTCACCACATTTTAGCCAGTTATTCACTGGGGCATGCATTCTGCAAACTATATGAAACCGCAGATACAAAGCCAGAATGATAAAGTTGGAAATAAAATAGTTCATGCAAGAGTTATGAAGAGGTATGCTAACAACTGACAGGCAAATACAAAATAAGATAAAAAGTCACGTAAACGTGAGGGCAGAGATCCAAGTCTAGAGGAAGGGGAAGTGAAGGATAACAACACTGTTTATTTAGTAGTTCTGGGAACCTGAAGGCACACAGAGAAAAGGCAAGCCCAACAACAGAGCTATTTGCAATGTAGTTCCTAAAGAGACTTGTATATTGAACAAATGCCCAACTTGCAATTTGTTGAAAGTAGTAACGGATCAGGATCTAACATACTTCTCCAATTCATTATTGCTTTCGTTGGGGATAAGCATAACTCTGAAGTATCATTTAGTCTTTCTTTTTTAACCTTGTAACGAAATTAATTGCATGTTTTGTGTTTAACCAGGTAGTAATTTTGCTCCTCCGAGAACTGCAACCTTCAAAGAGACTAGATTCAATAAGCAATGAGTCTGCATTGACACGGCAGATTTTCAGTCTTTGAATACTTTCCTCATGTAAAGTAGTGGCAATTGAGTACGCAAGAACAAATGAACTGAATTAAAACCTGACTATTTAAATGTAGGTCCACTGAATCTAACTGTAAATTATCAGTAATTTTGCCACCAGTAATTTTTTAATTGCCAGCAATTTTTTTCCACATATGAGGATGTAACATCTAGGCTATGTTTAGGACCCAGTGAAGTATTCATGGCCAAGGTTGCCATTCGTTACCACTACAAAATAATTAAATAATGTTGTTGTAAAACATAGCAAGTATTAAGCACAATTTAAAGAGAAATAAAAAATCTGTCCCCTTATCCCTTTTAATGCTTTTCCAGTTTCAGATCTCCTGTGGAAACACCAGGTCTAATACCCTCATAGGCAGTGAATACATGAGGTGTCAAATAAAAAGTCAGTCACTGCTCTTCCTTGTTCCCTCTCCCTGCAATGACTCAAATCAATTACTGCAACTCTGTGCACTACAGCCAGCTCACCCCTCAGAAACACTTACCGCTGAAGACTTCTCAGATAGGTTATATTAAGTTTTCATTATCAATATCGTAATGGTAAAGTCACAGTAAATGCAAACTGAAATGCTGCATTCTCTCTATAGCCAATGAAGAAAGGTAAGTTCTCAACTGGTGAATTATCTCCTGGTTCCCCTTTGAGGTGCCTAGGCTGAATGTATACAGGGGACAATGTAAAAATTCTTTGGTACCTATTTACATCTGAAGAAATCATTACATGCAATTCTTGCTTTCATGACCAATAGCGCCAATTATCTGAATTCTGGTTAACCTGGGCACTGGCTATGTGATGCACCAACTGCAGAACTCTGCTCTTGGCACTTAATCCCTGCACGCTTTTTAAGCTGGCATGCAAGAGCTGAACTCCAGAGGATGAAATCTTCTCTCTACTTTCATAGGAAAAATAACTATTATTCGTTAGCCTCTATTCTATATCTCTTTGGGTATATTGAAATTTCCTGAAAATTGACATACTTGCAACCATATAGAAGCTGAGCTTTACTACAGAAATGACAGACATCTGCTCCGGTAATATGGGTAGAATCTTAATCTTTATTTTAAATTCTACCATCTCCAGATCCCCACTTAAGTTTCTGTTTTATTTTTAATTAGTGCTTTGCAAATTCCATTAAAAATTAGGAACATAAAACCAGGTGAGATAACAAACATCAAATCAGATATGACTCAGTGCTCAAAAGGTCTCTACTTGGAATAGTTATGATTATTTCTCAGCAATTATATACAAACACTTAGTAGGAGACGCTGTTAGGATATGAAACAAGTAATTACTTGATAGATGCAAGAAAAAAATGTTAAAAGGACACATACTGATATCATTTATTTACATAAAAAATGTCAACAAAATTTACATTTAAAAGCATATAAAAATGATTCATAACCCCAGGTATATTCATAAATGTGTACTAACAAAAGAGTAAATATTTAACCAAATTTCACTTCCTTTCATCTAGCTAATTTCACCACTCAAAATTACTTCAACTCCAAATCCGCTGTGCTATGTGTTTTTTGCTTTATTTTGCCACCTTAAATCTGTTCATCATTATTTGTCTCTCTCTATAGCACCTCTCCAATAGCATCTTAGAAACACTGGCAAGTTACTATATGACTGGCCTTTGCTCTCCTCCTCCGTTCTTTCACTCTATCTCTTTTTTTTCCTGTCTTTTTTTCCTTGTCACAAGCCCAGGAGAGCGCTAAGGCATAAGCCCTCTGCTTTGCCTGGAGACCAATTCAGCAAGCTCACACCATGCCCACCCCCTCTGGTCCTCTGGCTCCACAGCACTGCCAGCCAATTCTGAGGTTTCTCTCTCATCACCATATGAGGGTGATTCATGACTCTGTTTATCTCATCACTATTTCATCTCCAAGATCACCAAGTGCCACTTCCGCAATCACTCTCTTGATCCCGTTTCTCCCATTCCATCCTACACTCTCTCTAGCTTGGCTTTGATCCAGGAAAGACACTCAACTTTGGAACTACATAAAATCTCTAGCAAACTCTTCCTAGTCAAACATCATTCCCAATATTCTTTCCTCTACTGCTTTTACCCACTTTTCAACTAAAGTTGAAAAGACAGTTTTAAGACAGTTGGCTACACTGTAACTCCTCCAAGTGCGCCCTTTTAGATTTCTTATAAGACAGTATGTCTCCAGTTACTCTTTCAGTGCACCATCTGAATGACTTCCCTAGTTTCCCCCACTTCTCTCATCTCCGACGGTCCACAGGGGTTCATCAGGGCTTTGCCCTTCGTCTCCTTCTCCTCTCTTCCTCTACAATTTTCCTTCGCATAATCTCATTCGCAGGGAACTAGTTCAATCAACTTGTCAGTGCTGAAGGTTCGCAGAACTTTCTCCAACTCAGACTTGATTTCTTTTTGTCCAAGCTAAAATCTCCACCTTTCTGACATCTCTTCATGGTTGTCTAGTTGTCAGATCAAGCCCAGCATGATAAAATGGAGCTCTAGCTTCCTTTCCTTCTAAGCACACCTCACCAGTTTCCTTCTAGACCATGTCAACATCAGTTTTCTGAACGTTATTCATAACTGGACGTCAGCCTCCACTCAGGTCTCTTTTTTGTAAGCTCTTATATTCAAGCAATGTCTAAGTTATGCAGTATTCTTCCAGTGACTCTCTTGCTCATGGTGCATCTCTATTACTGAAGCAACCTCTTCTCCAGTGTTAACAAATGCAGTCTTGCCCACTAAGATATATTCAGATCACAGACACTACTCTTTTAGCCTATTACTTCATGTAAGTCAAAATCTATTTATACTCTTCCACAGATTTCTCATTCTCTTCCTCATAAAAACATAAGCCGCTTGTCTTCACTTCACAGCCTTTCACACAGTTTCACTTCTATCCATCATGTTTAATTTGAAAGAGAGCAACTCCTGACCCCAACTAACAGGAGGTGCATAAGTTTTCAGAGGAATAATTTTGCATTTTTCACTACAATGTCTATAGTAACCTTAGAAGCTTTACTCTTAAATAAACACAAAAACGACTATACTAATCTTCCTACAAGCCCTTCCCTTGTCATGCTGCCTGAAAACAATAAAACTTAACACTGGTTGGACTTCTGGGGTGTCGAAGCTACTGTCCACCACAATGGCCAACACTGCCTACTTGTTTGATTGTTTTCCAAGTTAATCTATACTCACCTTCTACATTATGTATCAATTGCAAACTTTTTGAGGAAAGGATTATTTTTCATGAGATCTGGGAAAACAAGCCCTTGGTCCATTAGTAATTTTTCACAGTATTATTGTAATAATTCATTATAAATGCTACCATCCATATGAAAATGGCAATTGGAAAGTGAACTAGAATAAGCAAAGAAAAAACTAATGTAACTTTCTAATACCTAGTTGGGAATTTAACTTCAGTCCAAAGGTCTGAGATGACTGACTATATCCTAAATAGAATATATTTCCCCTTAGTTCTCTGCCAGAGGAATTACTCAAGATATTTCCTTCCCTAGAAAGGTGAATCTATAACGGAAAGAAAAGCATCCATTGTCCTCAATAAAGGAGGTAATAATCCTGTTCTAATTTCATCATATTCCTATCTCCCTTTTTTTAAAAAGTGTATGATTACTTGCTAAAATAACTTATTACATGCACATTTTCACGAACGATACAAAGAAACACCTTTCAATAATAACAAAATACATAATTAAGCTCATACTGTACTGTCAACAAGGGTGCAGCACATAAACACCAGCTCCCAACAATGAGGTTAAATTATTTTTTTCAGGTGAAGGCAGCAATTTCTTGCTATAAATAGCGCACATCAATCTTTTAAAATGAATTGATATGAGTTTCCACAATGTTTTTGCTTTTTCCTTTTCTTTTTTAAGACATGAAAAATAAGGGATTACTTTTGACTGTTAACTATAATATTTTGCTAAATTGGCAGGAAAGTTTTACTTTTCTTAAGAGAGTTACGGAAATTTTCAAACCGAAAGGGATGTATTTGGAAATTTCCAATAAAATATTTCGTATCCAGACTCCAAGAGCAAATTTCATTTCCTGATATTATGTAATGAAAAAACATAAATTATGCTTAATAAGATTAAAGAAGCAAATGAAGATTTGCTAACTCAACCTCACTTATAGTATTGATGCCACAAAAACAGATAAATAAATTTGCAAACTGATTCTCCTGAAGAAAGTACAGATATCCTGGTCATTCTGAAGGATTTCAATTTAGTTTTTCCTACTCAAGTGGACAATTAAAATTGGTAGAAAGCAAATGCACTTGTTGATTGAGAGTTAGATGCTAACATATTATGACTATATTATAAATATTATAGGTGAAAACTTTCCTAACTCTTCCCTGGACTTACAGGGATGCTGTGCAAACAGCTTCCTACATTCAACCTTTTTCTTATGCATTTCAGAGACAAAATGGGTAAAAGAGGTGTCTAGACTCCCATGAATAAACCTCTACAGAGGATCACTTTCCTTACCTTTGTGTTGGCGCACGCTTTCCCCTTCTTGTAGTCTTTATGGCTGCCCCTCTTATCCAATTTGGCCCACAAAGCTTTGGCCTTCCAGTAATTTAGCTTGGACTTGAGTTTGTGATAGAAAGAACGATAGTCCTTGGGTTTTAGTTCTAGGTAATCACAGAGCTCTTGGAAAGCCTTGAGAGTCCCCTTGCAGGTTGAAGCCTGGACAAATCTGTCGAAGAGAACATGAGCCAGGTTCACCTTCTCATTCTTACTTTCTTCCATGCTTCACACTTAGCAGCTACCCTGGGGGGCAGCTGTTCTCTTCCAGTCTGCCAGACTTCCTGATGTTGCACTGCTGAGCCACTTTCACCTCTGGCTTACAAGCATCATTAACCTATAAAATAAAAAGGACAAAATAGAACTGAGTTTGATCTTTTTCTTTCCAAAATTATGGCTGTGCCTACTGAACTGAAAGTGCAAACTCTCAGTAACTAATAAGGCATCGGACCTAAATGAGCCAACTAAACAATGCACCAAAGGTTCCTGTCCAACTGTGCTGAATTACAGCATTCCAAGGCTAACGGAGCCTCACTTCAAACAGGGAAGCATCTCATCTCTATTAAATAACAAAATACTTTATCTGAGCCATCCTCTAGAAAATTTTTTTCAAAATGTTTGTTTCACATGAAGAACAGAGAAGTTTCAAGTAAACTGGTTGGTGTTACATGATGTTTGGAAGCAGGAGGAGGTTTTAAAACAAAAGGTATACATACTGTTATAACAGTCACTGTGATGACAAGATTGCTGTGTTAACACCACAGCAGTAGTAACACGCCAGTCTTGAAAACACCACTGCTATAAATTACTTTAGGAGCTAGTATCCCATCAGTAAAACAAGTTTGGGTTCATTAAAAAATGACATGTATCTTTGCCCATGATAAGTAGAGAAGAGGAAAGAGGATGGCATTTCACAGGCTGATATTTCTGTTTGAGAGTCCTTGCAAAGACTACGTTTGCACAGTGACTTACTAAAAGTAATGACGGCTACTGCACTCCTAGAAAGAGGTTAGATCTGCTAATAGCAATTAATCTTTTGCTTTCTGCTAATAGCAATCTTTTCTTTGCTTAAGAAAAGATATCAAGACTGAAAAAATGCCTGGGAGATATGTGTTGCACCAAGCAGCGTAAACTTTTGTCTCAACTAGTTTCTATGTCCATATTTCTGTCTTAAGAAGTAACATAACAGTGAAATCTGACTGATGCGCTACGCTCATTGAATTCTCATACTACTTCCTCTAGTTGCACAATTTCCAACTTCTTTTGACTTGCAGACCCCCCCACCCCAAATTTTTATCTTCGGATACGAGGGCAGCATGTATTCAAAGCATGCTTTGAGCTTGAAATAGATGTTGAAACTACAGAACTGAAAACACTTCTGAGGTGCTTTTTGTCTTTGTTTTTTTGCAAAGGGCATTAAGGTAAAAAAGGAAATATGTGGACTCGGATAAAACCTTTTAGATTCTCACCAGTTCTTTTCCGGCTTCCAGCAGACAGGAAGCCAAGTCAAACATTACAGCTCATGTCTCTTCCCCTCCAGTATGTCAGCTTGCCAGCAGTTTGTTTGGGCACTCCTGCATTCCACCCTAACATGATATTTATTAGTCATATTTAAAAATGGCAAAGGAGACCTCAATACCCCTACATAGAGCCCCAAACTGTTTTTTATTCTAAATAAAAATAAAGAACTCTCCTAAAGAAACCAGAGTATAACAATGGGCTATCCTGGCAAATGCAATTATGACTTTATTAGGACAACTGCCTTAGAGGACTCAACACAAATGAAGCTGTATTTATGACTGGCTGATAGCGATATCATGTCCATATCAGCACTGCTCACTAAGCAGTATGGAAATAACTACTTCCCTTATTTTTAATATTAATTTCACTGTTGTGGAGCTCGAATCGTGCTCCAGGCTTGCACCTCAGAGTAACCACTACACAGCTCCAGAGGTCTAAGACACTGTGCTTTAAGCCTGTGACCCCTCTTCTGTTCTCAAGAGCAATGCTATAAAGAACTCCCACAAATCACTTATGTTGAAGGATGCATCTGTGTAACAGAGATGCAATAAAATACCCAAAGTCTAATTCCCCGTGCCTCAGCAATCTGCACAATGCTGCAAGGTGAATACTGTTTTGTCATTTCCCCTGTCACTTGCACTCTACCACCCAAACACTCACTTTACGCCAGCATTTAAGATGACTGACAAAATATTTCCTAAGAGTAAGTAATGAAAGCTACATTACCTCAAGGCAATTTAAGTCTTTTAGTTCACAGGCCATTACTAATTCATCCAGATGCAAGCACAACACAAGATTCATTTCTTATTCTTGTTTCTGTTCTACTCTTTCACCAGACAAAACAACAAAGCAGCACGTTTCTGCACTGCTCAGACAGAACCTGAAGGTAAAATCTGGTCTGTTTTCCCTCTAGGAATTCATTGCTTTGTGTTCAAGATTTGCCAAGCCAGGTGACAAAGTTGCAAAAGCAGGTCATTTTACACAGCTCAATCAGAGCAGTATATTAATTTAGAAGTTCTGCCGATGTCCCGTTTCGTAAAAGGCTATTAAAGTCAGTTATGCCCGCAGGTCAAACAGAGCTGCTTCTTCTGTACAGAAGCTTCAATCACTGCAATCAGTCACGCCCCAAAACTCTGCATTCCTGATGTAAACACCCGAAGCCCTTGGAACCCAACAGCAACACGTCACGTCAGAGATCATGGAAATTACAGGAGGCAAAGCAAGGGCAGGCAAGAATTACTTGCCAGGTTTCCAGGGTATTTGTATGCATTGTTGGCTACTCTGCGAGTCTGCAGTATCCTGCATGTTTTGTCTCGAGGCTGCTGATTGCTGACTCAGAAGCTCTGCACATTCCTTGGCTGAAGTGTTGGGAGAGAAAGACAAAGCATGTGAAAAAAAGCATGCAAGAACAGTGTTCACGTTGCTATTTACAATAATAGCAAGGGGTTGTCACTGACTCATGACTACAAGTACGCTCAGGATCTCCAGCTCATGCCCAGGACAAAAGAAATCAATAAAAAAACAGAGAAAGAGACAACGAATAATTCCAGGTGGCGTTTCCTTCCCCTTCCCACAGTCACCACAGATGTGTTGCTTTCAGGCCTTGTGTGAACATTTTACCAAACATGAATATGGGAAAATAAGTTCAATGCCTGGAAAACTCACCCCTACTCCTGTCCAATGCAAGAGATTGGAAGAACTTTTGCACAAACGAAGCATATAATGCATTTAATTGTGCAACTTCAAATTCCTGCAGAACGCGTTGCGAATATAGGCCTCCTATATTCCAGACAAATGCACCCCCATTACTCGGTTACAGGCGTCACCTCCCCTACTTTTTCCACCCTGATTTTGTTAAAAGAGTCTCATTTAACTTGTGACTTGAGCTGGGAAAAATGAAATATTTTAGTTTGGGAATGCAGTTTTCCAGCCTTTTTCTCCATTTTTGTTCTGGCTGAAACAATTGACTTAATTCTATCCAAATTCAAAAATTGTTTAATCTAGCTCAAAATGGCATTTTGAGTGAATAACACATTTGCCAAAATAACTGTCCAGCTCCACCTAGAACGCTGAGCTTCTCCAACCACACCGTAAACACTCTCTTTAATTTTGCTTATTTCACAGCTAGACACATACCTCAGATCCACCCTTAACAAGACAGACACATTTCTTAGAATTTAGAGATCAACAAACTTGCAGTACTGCATGGAATCTAAAAACACGTTTTTCCATCCTCTGTAAAACTAGTGAATGCTCCAATAACCCCAGTTTCCATTGATTTCATCCTTTCCACAATATTTCCAACTCCCTGTCAACTTCCTCCATGCCCTCACCTCCCTCATTTGGTCCCTTAACTTCTGCCCAAGAAAAACTCAATAACATGCTCTGGAAAACTCTTTGTCTACTGTAATACCTAGGCAGCCAGTACATACTTGCAACTTGGCTAGCAAAAGCCTAAGAACAGATTATTGTTAAGCCTATGCTGGAGACACCTAGGGGACACCTATTTTTGTCTCTCTTCTCTACCCAGCCAATAGTTTTCTTGACACTTGCAGGAAATCAGTTATCTTCAAGACTTTTATTCACTGTCAAATCTGGGTGAAATCGTTCAAAAGTTATTAAGGGTGAGCTGAGAAGCAGATGGACAAGCAGCTCAATCCTATAAGCCTTCCTTCTTTAGGAAACCACACTAAAAAAAGTCTTTATTCCAGCAAATGAAAGTTCTGTTTTCATTTCCAGGACTTATTTTATTTTACTTTTAGCGAAAAATAAATAAATGGCCCTTGGTACAATATGTTCACCACATCCTAAGTCATCACAGATACCAAAAGTACAGGTTTAGGGCAGCTATTAGGCTGTAGAACACATGGCAAAAGGAAGACCGTTTCTACAAGAAAAGCTAAAAATAAAATCTGCAATTATTTCAGTCTTATGCAAGAAATGGGAAAGCAGGAGGACCAAGGGTGTGGTTGCCATTGTTTGCAGCTTCCCTTTTACACCAGATGGAAAAAAGGAATATCAGCATTGTACACAGTATGTTTTAAGATGGTATTCAGATCTGCTCTGGTTCATAAAACTGAGCACTCAAGCAAACACACTGGCAAATAGATGTTTGTGTTTTAACGCACTCATAAAACCTCATTTCCTGGGCACAAATAGCAGGGGAGGAGGTCTCCTCTATTTCCTTTCTAACCCCCACGTTGGAATAGAAGCAGGAGAAAGAGAGAACTCATACGAACTAAGTTGCAAATGCAGAACCTATTCGTCCGAAAGAGAAAATCAAAGCATATATACAAACAGCTCACGCACAACTTTACTTCAAGAAAACTCAGTGCAGTAACGATTTTAAAAGAAATGCAAATTGTATCAAAGAACATAGAAACACATGAACACAAAAGCAACTACAGGTAGTAGTTTGGTTCTCAAACTCATACTAAGGTACTGAATAGAAATCTTTACATTGCTCATTACTAATCCTTTCTTAAGTGACATGAGTACTGAAAATATCAGACCTATAAAAAAACTTTTTACCTACATGAATTCATTTAACATACTTTTTTGCTGTTCTGTTATATGTTAATCTTTTATCACAAGGTAATCTTATGTTGAAAGATCACCTAAGTAAAGCAGGAGGCCAAGAAACAGATCATCTCTCCTCTTTCTTCAACTTGAACAAAATTAATGTCTGAAAACATTCTACCTAGGATTTTTTCCTTCAGGTTGTGGGGGAAAAGCTGCTCAGCTTAGTCACTCTATGTTTTATATGCCTCTGGCTATTATAGTCAGTATTCTTGAGTCATAAAGAGTACTTAACCA